TCGCTACGTTGTCACCAAGTGAACGTTTGGCGCCAGAAACCACCAAGTGAAAGTTGAACTTCCCCGTACGCCGCAGTGCAGGGTTTGGGGAAGCGAGTGAGAAACTGGGTGAATGGGTGAGCGATTAATTTCATTAATAAGTTAGCGAGTCAGAGAATGAGCAAGGGACCGAGTGAATGAGTAAATTATAAAGAGAATGCATGATGAAGAGACTTGGTAAATTGGTGAATGATTACACGAATGAACGAGTGAATGAATAATCGAAGTAATGAATGAGTGAGCAAGTCGGAGAATGAATGAGACACCGAGTGCATGGGTGAATGATTAAGAGAATGAGTGGACGATTAAGAGACTGAGTGAATGAGTGCGAGTCCTGGCGAGTGAGTGGCTAGATGGCCGAGTTCCACGGAGTGAGAAACTCCAGTGTCGTTCAGTATTGGACGACGCAAGCCTCACCCACACACTCCCAGGAATTGTTCTTTAAGGGAAGTTTTTTTTTTACCACGAGATGTTGAGGCCAATTTTATTTTTAGAGGGAGATGTTTCGCAAGAAAGCACGTATGTATGTTGAACTTCTTTCGCAACGTACGTTGTCAACCGTCCTACTCGGAGGTGCGGGGGAAGGAGAACAAACGAAACGCAACAAGCAGTTCTCAAGAAATTAGTTTTGTTTAGATCGAAAAGTGCAGAGCTCCAGTGGCTTCCTAATATCGGAAGGAAGAGCGTTCCAGACGGACGCAGAAGCGCATTGTGTGTGGCTGAGTGAGGTGTGTAGCGGTTAGCGAGCTGCCCCACGAACCCGGCAACTGGAGTTCAATTCCCGCTCACGGTCAACAGCAGTGACGATTTTCACCTAGATTGACTCAGCCTCAAATGAGTACCTGGTGAACATCGCCACTAAGGAGACAACGGCGGCCGGGCGTGGTGCTGGCCACCCACCCCCTCGTTAGCCGTGTCGGCCTTCCTCGGTGCTCGCTAACAGCACTTGCCCCAACAGTCTGTTAAGGCTATATGGGGGATCTTTGTCTTTTATGGCTGAGTGGACGTGTGGGTGAGTGAGTGGGTGAGCGAGGGGGTGAGCGAGAGAGGGGATGAGTGAGTGGGTTAGTGAGGCAGTGAGGGAGAGAGCATGTGACTGAGTGGTTGAGTAGGTGAGTGAGTGGATGAAAAAGTAGGTGGATGAGTGAGCGAGCAGGTGAGTGAGTGAGCAAGTGAGTGGATGAATAAGTAGAGTAGGTGAGTGGGTGGGTGAGTAGGTGATTGAGTAAGTAGGTGAGTGGGCGGATGAGTGAGTGGCTGAGTAAATGGGTGAGTGAGTAGGTGAGTGGGTGAGTGAGTGGTTGAGTAAGTTGGTGAGTGAGCGAATGATTGAGCAATTGGGTTAGTGAGTGGGTGGGCAAGTGGGTGAGATTAACACGTAGGCTGTCGCAACCAATTTTATCCTAAATGGAGGTTTTTTTCGATTAGATCGCGTAAATATAAATGTCGTTAAACCTGCCACCATCCGATACAGCTAATTAGTAAGGTTTGTCACGTAAACAAACATGCAATTTGTTACTTGTTCAGCACACCAGTGTGTTAGAGAGTAAACCCACAACATTTACAATTCGAGTATGACATTTTACCGGTAATTGCAACCAGCCTCATCAGGCGACAGCCAGATTTGTAGAGAAATCCTCCTGTTTCGATCTTAAATAGAGGGATAAATGTGATGTCACTTGTGAGCCAATCAGTTGCCAGGAACAGTGGGGGGAGGGGGTAAATGTTTTCATATAAATGAGCAGGAACCCGTGGAACTTTCGTGAGGATTTTGTGAAGAGGAGTGGGGCGCGACTTAAAAAATTCACTCACATCATGTCCCCACTATTCTCCATTATCACCGCCCATCACTGTTCTCTACCCATTCCCATCACCCTGTACCCCCTCCACATTCCAGTTGCTTTCCCCATCAAACCTAAGCCACCCTTCCCATCAGCATGACCTCCATCCTTCCCGCAATCACCCTCTCCACCCCCCACTTACATCACCAATCTCCACCACTCCATCCTCATCACCCTACCAACCCGAGTCCCATCATCACCATCAAGCTGGCCCATCACTAATTACGACCAGCATGGTAAAGTGATGGTGAATATGTATGTCGTCGCATTTTGAACGTATAATTTATTATAAATGTAAATATTTTAGTATGTTTATTTTATGTACATTGTAACTTTACAGGCCAAAACTTCACGGTAGACAACGTTGTGTTTCACCATTTTGACTTGGCGTTTTCTTTGGCTCTCGGAGTCGAGAATGTTGACTTGAACATCTGTAAGAACCCTTGCTCGAGAACATGCCACGGCCATGGGAGAAGTCTGGCTGTGGTAAGTAAATGCCAACCGTGTCAAATGTCTGGCCTTGTGCCTTGTTGATTGCACTATGTAACACAATTTTTGTTCCTCGATAGTAAGTGTTATTTCGTAATTGTTTATGCCTAAAAAGTATAGAAAATGTATATTATTTCCCACAAACTTTGCTTTTGTGACCAGGACAGTGATATTTTGAAATTTACCTATTTTAAATGAGAAAACGGGCGTATTTGTGTATTTTCGTTCACAAAGTCTGAAAAAAAACATATGAATCAAAATTAACAAGTATTTATACTAAAGTAATACAAAAATAGCTACAAAAGATTTGAAAGTGAGTAGTTTTTCGAGATTTACGATTATACTGTAAATCAAATTCACGAATCGGCGCCCAAATGTAGTCTCCCATCATGTTCTCATTATACTGTCCTTGGTAGCGACGTTCAAAGTCCAGTATATCCTGGTGGAAGCGCTCGCCTGCTCCTTCGAGTATGATCCCATGTTCTCCTTGAATTTATCAAGATGATCATCAAGGATATGGACTTTGAGGGACATCCTACAGCCCATTGTGCTGTAGTTCTTCACGAAAGTCTCAACCAGCTCCACATAGTTTTCGACCTTGTGATTGCCCAGCAAGCCACGAACGACTACGACAAAGCTGTTCCAAGCCACTTTCTCCTTCCTAGTGAGCTTCTTGGGGAATTCATTGCACTCCAGGATCTTCTTTATCTGTGGTCCGACAAAGACACCGGCTTTGACCTTTGCCTCAGACAGCTTAGGGAAGAAGTCATGAAGGTACTTGAAGGCTTCCGACTCCTTATCTACAGCTCGGACAAATTGTTTTATAAGGCGTAATTTGATGTGCAGTGGTGGCATCAGCACCTTCCGGGGGTCCACCAGTGGCTCCCACTTGACGTTGTTCCTCCTTCCAGAGAACTCGGTCCGCTGTGGCCATTCCCGCCTGTGTTAGTGTGACTTGGTGTCCCTGGTGTCCCACAGGCCAAGATAGCAGGGAAACTTGGTAAAACCGTCTTGGAGACCCATCAGAAATGCCACCATTTTGAAGTCTCCGATGGCCTCCCAGCCGTACTCATCATACTTCAAGGCATCCAGTAAGGTCTTGATGCTGTTGTAATCCTCTTTGAGGTGCACCGAGTGAGCCAGGGGAAGAGACGGGTACTTTTTACCATTATGGAGCAGCACGGCTTTGAGGCTCCTGGATGAGCTGTCAATGAAGATGGCTGCTCTCCGGAGGAGTGGGTATGGGGAGCTCATGGCAGTGTGGCACTGGGGCAATGGATGAAGGACGATCCGGATACGTGATAGCAGGTGCATTCTTGCCAGTCCGACGTTTGGAAGGGTCCACCATGCAGAAGTAGCAGTTGCTTGAGTGGTCAGTGGGTTCCCGCCAAATTCTTGGGATAGTGAACTTCATAGCTCTCTTTTTCCACTCTGTACCATCCTACATAAATACATGTATTTCACCCTTGACATTTTTCATATATGATGTATTTTTTTCAATAACATTGAAAATAGTAAAACATTTTCAAATGTAAAACTTAAATTTAATATTTTTTTAACTAATTCTATAATATTAAATTCCGAGCAACAATTGTCCATCTTACCTTCCAGAGTTTTTTGTATTGCTCGCATGTGAAATGAGGTGATCAGAGATTGTCTTGATCCTCGACAGGCATGCCAAAATATGCCTTGTAGGCCTCACACATCCTAGCAGATGCTTCTACAGAGTACTTTTTCGCACTTGTCTTGATCAATTTTCCACAGACATAGCAAAATGCGTCTGCTGGATACTTGCAGCCTCTTAATGCCATCTCAGAAAATGCAGCTATGTATCCACTTAGGCAGCTGGAACTAAATTGAACTGGTGGGCTTAAGGCCCCTGTGTTGATACTACTATTTATATTACTAGAAAGTTCTAGGGTGTTCTAGAAGTTACTCCAAGTTTATTCACCACTGAATCTATCTGAAATGTTCTTGAAAATAGGTAAATTTCAAAACATCACTGTCCTGATCACAAAAGCAAAGTTTGTGGGTAATAATAGCCATTTTCTGTAGTTTTGAGGCATAAGCAATGAGGAAATAACACTTACTACCCAGGAACAAAAATAATAATAAACATTTGTTCTAGTGTTGTCATTGAGTAAGCAAAGCGCAGGGGGAATTTGATTATCTGTAAAGTGAATTGGCAAGCCTGTGTCACTCGGGGCAAGCTTTACTCGTACTAGGTACTCATTTTAGGCTGAGTTGACCTCGGGGAGGCCCAAGACTCGTTTAGATACTCGTCAGTGGGGTTGGGCGTGAGAGGGAATTGAACTCGGGTCGCCGGGTTCGTAGCACAGTGCGCGATCAAAACGTCGTAGTTTTTCGTTATTTTCTTTCAACTTATCTACATGACCTTACCGAAAGACCCAAAGAATAGGATATGCTTGTCTATTTGTATGTTTATTTATGCCAATTTCACATAGTAAACAAATACAAAAAAACCTAAAAACATATCATTCAAGAATGTGAAATAATAAGCTATTTTACGTAATGATTGGTGATTATCCAGCGTTTTTGAAAATCCGGTGCCCCCTCCTCCCCAAAGCTGCCGTCTAATAAATTATCTACTGTATTTATAAAACCGCTCAGACAGAGTCGACGATGGCCAAGGCGCTGATCCGTCGTCACAAAACTACGCTGATGAGATGGATCAGCAGAGACCCGACCCATCTGCTGGACGAGCTGGACAGCAGAGGCCACATCCAGCGCGAGCTCTACAAGGCAGCCAATGACATCGCCGACCGCATGAAGCAGGCACGGTCGCTGCTCGACCACTTTATTGACTGCAGCGAGGAGGGGTGCGAGAAGCTCCTGCGGACGCTCAGAGTCGTGTGCGATCACTACCCCTCGGAGCTACGCACGTGGTTGGACGAGAACGGTAAATGGCCGGGGGGAAGGGCTTAATCACTTTGCACGCAGAGCGGGATGCTACGCGTGTGGAGCGGGATACTCTGGAGCAGGACGCTACGGAGCGGGACGCTATGGAAAGGGACGCTATGCGTGCGGAGCGGGATGCTACGGAGCGGGACGCGATGCGTGCGGAGCAGGACACTACGAAGTGGGATGCTATGGAGCGGGATGCTATGTGCGGAGCCGGAAGCAATCGCCATTAAGGCATCGTTTCATGCAGGAGGGAAATGAGACGGCTGCCGTAGAAAAACTTAACATAGTTTTTTGTAAGTGTGTATGTTGAACTTCTGTCGCACTGTACAGAACTAATTGGGCTAATCAGAGGTGCGGGGGGGAAGGACAACTAAACGCCAGGTAAGGCCCACTGAGCTATGTACCTCTTTTTAAGAAGCGACCTGGCTATCAGAAATTATAGCGCAACGAAGTGGCTTATCACGTGGAAATTTATTGCAGTCAAATACTCTAAACGCGTGATGTTGATTCTAAATGTGAAGGGGAAAACCAGAGGGACCCGGACCAAATCCACGTGACTACGGTGAGAGAGAGATAGATGCAGACTCCACATAGTTGCAGGCATTGTCATGGTCTGGGGATTGAACCCACGACCTCTTTTATACTCTTTTTATATTAAGAGAGAGTTTAGCCTGGAGCAGAAGAGAGAGCAGCTGGGTTGTGAGAGCTTTACACGAAGTTGTAGAATAACAGCAACAATGGTAGAAATGTCACAGTGACAGGAGACAGTAAAGTTTAGAATTTTATTAATTAGATTTTAAATAATTATAAAGTTGTAGCTCGGATGACAGTGAGGAGGAGAGGTGGGAATGGTTGAGGAAGGGTAGGGATTTGGGTCGTGATAGGGTTGGTGATCGGGGTCGTGATATGGGTAGTGATAGAGGTCTTGATAGGATTAGTGATAGAGGTAGTGATAGTGGTTGGGGTTGTGACAGGTGTAATGATAGTGGCAGGGGTAGTGACAGGGGTAATGATAGTGGTTGGGGTAGTGATAGGAGTTGGGGTAGTGACAGGGGTAGTGATAGTGGTTGGGGTAGTGATAGGAGTTGGGATAGTGGCAGGGGTAGTGACAGGGGTAGTGATAGTGGTTGGGATAGATGAGAGGGATAGTGATAGGGTAGTGTTGTATATGTCGGATAAAAATAATAAAAATTTAATGAAGATCGAAAAATGCGTAAATATTGAAAAGTATGCTAATTTATGCAATAAATTATGCTAATTTGGGAGATGCTCGTATTAATTTATGCGCATGTATGTAAATATGCAAATGTATGCAGCTATGGTAATTAGGATTAGCGTCCTTGCTCAGGATCGTATCAACAATCGGGATAATGCAATTATTCTTGCTTAAACATTTAATGATTATCTCTTAGTGTGTTTATGTCAGATCTCCAAATTCAAATCTCAACGCAGGATACAGTTCTTATAAATAAGATTGTTACACTTCTTTGTTAAGCAATTTTAATTCTAAACAAAAGCATAACAATCTGATATGCGAACTCTCATGCTTGGAATCATCCACGGTACCATCGGGGAAATTTCCCTCATTGAGCAGTACATTTAATCATCAATGATTGCGTTGTTTCACTTTGGCCACCAAACATATAATTAATTCCACCGCGTGACACGAGCATAGACGACGATAGGGAGAGTTCTTAAAACAGGCGTGCAACGATATTCATACGAAAGGCGATAAGCAAATTATTATATCCCGAAGGCAAAAGTATATTCAATAGATTCATCGGCAAGATTAGATCATTAACGAAATGTCTTGGAACAATGGTGTGCGGCGGTGTGCGTGTCCTCTTACGGGAGATTTTTTTTATCTTTGGCAAAGTTTTCATTAATTCGTGGACAAGATTCTATGAAAAAAAAAACAGGTTTAACACTATATTCTCTCTGTGAGCGTATAGATTCGTGACGAAGGTTTCAAAAGTTTAGTTCACATCGATGAATCTATTGGTAATTTATGCGATTAAAAATAAAATGAAATAAAACCAAGTAAGAAAAAAAACGACTAATGCACTTATAAACGACGTATTCTTATCACTCGATGAGCTGCGATGCCTTCACGGCCAACTGATGGTTCATGCACTTTTATAATTAGTCTTCTTATGATTGGTTCCATTGTGTGGGTGTGTTGGATTATCTCGTTGGTAAATTCTTGTAAGTGACTCAAGGTATGTTGTAGCCGTGTTCACAGTATTTCCATCGTGGTTTGATTTATTTATGGGGAGATGTTCTTTGCTTGTGTGGGCAAATCTTGCTATCGCGTGCTGCGGGAAGACAAAGGCGGTTGGGAGGCTCACATTACATCTTGATTAGGTATGACTGACTTATTTCGCCTTTAATACTTCTAGATGACCCTTGGTCTAATGCTTCATAATTATTATTTGGTTTGTGTTTATTCAAGATTTGTGATTTAGCATTATTATTACCACGTATTTCATAGGCTTTTACTAACCTTCGTTCCACTGCCTGTATCCTGGGTTTGAGCAGTTTGTTCTCGAGTTATTGTTATTATCTGATATCCCGAGGTTAGAGAATTCGTTTTGGCTTGGGAATAACCCTGACTGCCAGAATTCTTCTTTGATGCTTCGGTCAGGTCGTGTAGAAAATTATTAAAGGTAGAAATAACATTAGTATTGAATTAATAAATGAGGAGTAATGATCCACTGATGTAGATTGTAGCCTGGTTTTTAATTGGAGTTAGTGTGAGGATCGATAATGTTAGCTTAATCTTTGGTCGCTAAGTTTTGGAATTTTTGTTTAGCTAAACTAGCCCACAAAACCCGTCTGTTCGCTTTTCGCCGTTGGCTTGGTGGCTCTGCGTTTGAAGCCCGTGTTACCACACCCCCTCTCTCTGTCCTTTGTAAAGGGGGGGGGGTGTCCTTTCATTATTTTTTATGGTTCATATCTGGCTCCTTGTTGCGAGCGTGACAAGGCAGCTGCTCGAGAAGGGGGGGGGGGGGGGTCCGTTTTGTTTGCGCTCCAAGTGACCCCGCGATTGATTATATGAAAAAAAATATTTGGCAGAATTATTCTTAATATGAATTTTGTAAAAAGGGTCATATATCCAACAGTAGTGATAGTGGTTGGGGTAGTGATAGTGGTTGGGGTAGTGATAGTGGTTGGGGTAGTGATAGTGGTTGGGGTAGTGATAGTGATTGGGGTAGTGATAGTGATTGGGGTAGTGATAGTGATTGGGGTAGTGATAGTGGTTGGGGTAATGATAGTGGTTGGGGTAATGATAGTGGTTGGGGTATTGAAAGTGGTTGTGATAGTGGTTGGGGTAGTGATAGTGGTTGGGGTTATGACAGGGGTAGTGATATAGGGGTAGTGATAGTGGTTGGGGTAGTGATAGTGGTTGGGGTAATGATAGTGGTTGGGGTAGTGATAGTGGTTGGGGTATTGAAAGTGGTTGTGATAGTGGTTGGGGTAATGATAGTGGTTGGGGTAGTAATAGTGGTTGGGGTATTGAAAGTGGTTGTGATAGTGGTTGGGGTAGTGATAGTGGTTGGGGTTATGACAGGGGTAGTGATAGTGGTTGGGGTAGTGATAGTGGTTGGGGTTATGACAGGGGTAGTGATAGGGGTAGTGATAGTGGTTGAGGTAGTGATAGTGGTTGGGGTAGTGATAGTGGTTGGGGTAGTGATAGTGGTTGAGGTAGTGATAGTGACAGGGGTAGTGATAGGCCTCGGCAAAGTAAGGTAAAAGTTAAAAGGTAAATACAACGAGCCTACCTTTACCCTACCTTTTACCTTACCACAACACAATCACTCTACCCTACCTTTTACCCTTTAGCAGGTAAAATAAAAGGTAAAAAGCAACGAGCCTAGCTTTACCCTACCTTTTACCCTTACCCCATACAAATTACCCGATTACAGGGTAATTACTGGGGAACTACTACACATGAACAAGGTTTGTAACAGTAAATGCTAGATAGAGCGCTTTAATCATATAGAATACTCTCGATGATTCTAATTTTACACGCTTGTTGTCGTTGTTGTCATTGTTGTCGTTGTTGTCATCGTCGTTGTCGTATCCTCAAATCTTGTAACTCAATTTTAACCCACTTCCCAATGTAGTATCGACTGCAAACTTGGTATACTTATGTCATACTGATGACAACACTAAAAATATATATTTTAAAAAAAAATTATATGTTATGTTTCGGCTTGGCTCTAATTGTCCACGCTCAACTGACGTTGGCTGTAATTGGCCACGGCCCCTTACGTTATGGCAAGCTTCGGGGCCACTTCCTGGAGTCCTGGAGTTCTGCCATTACTAGTACATTTTATAAAAGCGTGTTTTTAATAAAGTTTGTTTTAATATTACTTATTAAATGTAGGCCATGGACTGCGCCACGGAGCTTTTAGCGGTAAACAAGGTACCGTATTTACCGGATAATACTTTGCGCTACCTTTACCCTACCGGGTAATTCTTCCGAGCTACCTTTACCCTGTTACCCTTGACCTTTCCCCTGGGCATGTCGACACCTTACCCTTTACCTTACCCTTTTACCGGTAAAAAGGATAAATTACCTTGCCGAGGCCTAGATAGTGATATGAGTTGGGGTAGTGGTTGGGGTAGTGATAGTGGTTGGGGTAGTGATAGTGGTTGGGGTAATGATAGTGGTTGGGGTAGTGACAGGGGTAGTGATAGTGGTTGGGGTATTGATAGTGGTTGGGGTAATGATAGTGGTTGGGGTAGTGACAAGGGTTGCGGTAGTGATAGGGGTTGGGGTAGGCCTGGTTTAGCTGGGGGTCAGGGTTAGGGAGTATCAGCAGCAGCAGGATGAAGACGCTGGGCTAGGGGAGAAGAGATGAGGATTGTTCTAAGGCAGGAAAGGAGGAAGCTGAAGGTCATCATAGTGGTGCAACTCTGGAGTATGGGCAGCAGGGTATGTATGCAGAGTAGAACTTAGGCGACATTATTATGGTAGAGGGATCGTATAGATTACTGGGTATGTATGCAGAGTAGAACTTAGGCGACGTTATGACTTGTACACAATGCACGGAGTGTCTGTGAGTGGTAATCAGCATCATCACTGGTCGTGATCTATCCACTGTTCAATAAAGGCTCCCTCTGTAAGCCATTGCCAACTCTCATGGTCTGGCAAGACATAAATCCATCCAGCTCTTGCACACATGCTGATTTTATCCCTGCATTCAAACTGTTAAACTAAACTATTTTGTTTGACCAGATAAGGCCGACTAAGCAATATAATTCTTTTTCAAAAGCGACCTGGCCACAAATGATAGCTCAACAAAGTTGCTTACCATGTGGAAATGTATAGCAGCCAAATACTCTAAATGCACTTTGCTTCTAAATGTGGAAGGGAAAAACCGGATGATCCGGGGCTAACATGCAAATTCCAAATATACAGCATGCGTCAGATTCAAGATCGAACCCACAACCTCCTGTAGACAAAGGGAGGTAGTTAACACCTTACTCCTACCTCATCCCCCCCCCCCCCCCAGTTACCCCTCACCATGAAGTGCACCACAGTTTTTGTACAGTAAATTACAGTGTACAATATTTGTTTTGTATTACCCATCTAGTTATTATTCTCCATATTTACGCGTGAAAATCAGTGGCGGCTCCTGCAAAATCTCTCAGGGGGGGGCAAATGTCTGGATGATTGATAAGGATAAGGTCCACCCATGCAATGGATAAATTAACAGCTTAAGCATGTAAAGGCAACTTCACTTCTTTAATATTAATGAAAAATAAAGTGACCCTTACAATACATCTTGTTTGTTTCTATACTCACTATTAAAACAAACCACTCAAGTTTTTTTTATTAAAGATTCCACTAGGTGGCAACAAATTATATTGTTGGATGAAACGTGCTTACGTATGATGACGTAAGCACGTATGATGACGTAAGCACGTTAGGGCGAGCCCTCCCGGAAGCCATAGAGAATGCATTGCAGCGCCCCCGTTCGAAAAAAAACATCTTTGAATGTAAGTCTATGGGACCACTCGGGGCGATTCTCAGCTGGAGGGAAATCGCCCAAAAAGAGGCGGTACTCCACAGAACGTAGCATGACGCTGATTGGACTATATCCAGAGGCACAGTGACGGCTAGCGTGACTCTGTGGTTGAATGACATTGGTGGTGCGTCGCCCAATCGCCCTAATGAAGAAACCGCCCCTGGTGAAAATGTCTTAGTTGTGTTGAAAAGTGTAATTTGAGTAGGTATTGGGTCGTAAAATATTTCTTAGGGACGAAACTTAGGCTGTATAATGGGACCTAATGGGAGAATACGTTTCGCTTCATGGTGTTTCACTTTACAATCAGGGTTTCAACGCTCAATTTTACGTTCTCAACCACCGGCTATCACATTTACATGTTCTGTTCTGATGACCCCAATTTAATGAGCCTATTTCTTGGTAGCTCTTCTTTATCTTGTAACCCACATATTGTATTCACTTTCAGCCAACAGCATGGCCACGGAGAAGTTCACGGAGCCAGGATTTTCCAGTAGCTGCTTTTCACATCAAACCTCGTATATGAAATGTACCGGATGGTGCATGCAGGAAGATACAACTGCTGCAAGGTTTGGACAAGACGTGCCTCCTTATCCGGCAGTGGACGCGACTACGCAAACTGATAGAGGACCTATGGAAATGTCTGCCGTCGACAGTGATATGCTCACATCCAAAGGTATTACAGATGAGGGTCCTTTTTAAAATTGGTTGAAATGAGACACAAGACCCCTGCATTATTGTTGCTGAGGTTAATTTAATGAACCAGCGAAGGAAATTATTTTCAATCTCCCTCTATTATGCACCAATTGTTTTGCTTATTACTGTGACTGGCAAATGCAGGCAAACCTCGCTTAGCGCTGTTTTGTCCTGGAGAAATGTTTTACTAAAAACCAATACAATCAAAGAATGCAAAGCCCTTTCGAGAACACGTAGCAGCAGCGGGAGCACTGGCCATCACTTGCTCAGCCAATGAGAACAACGCACGCACTGAGCCAATCAGCACCAAACCGCCCACAATTTCATCAAAGTTCGTGGTCACGATTGGATTTGTTTGGCCAGCCGAGAGCTCAACACGAGACCAAGATAGAGCCCCAGGCTTTACCTAAAAAAAAACCTCACTATGGAGATTTAGACTGAGGGCATCGCAAAGACCCAAACTGGCAGCGCAGCAGCTCCAACCTCATCTCCCACCGCTGTCTTGCAGCAGCACAGTATGTAATACTTCCTGATATTAGAATACATTTTTTTTACCAATGAAATTATGTTTACCATCTGTGTTATTATGAGTGTTTTTACTGATACCCCAATGAAGCCCTTGTATATTGCTCATGGGAAAGAAATAACGCTTTCAGGAACGCATCCCCATATCGTCTTGCACGCGTTTCCCCCACTCATGTGGTGGTGTCCGCTGGCCTTGCCAACCTCCATGATCATCATAAAGGTTTTGGGTTTAGATCTAAATTTAAAAAACTTTATTACGAATAATATTGGTCACGAAAATCTACGTGTTCTCCATGCTGCCCTGCCCTGCGCCATCTCTCTTTCCGCTCCTCGGGCCACCATGTCTGATCGCACCACATTGCTCCAAACCCCCCACCTCTTCTTCTGCCTTCCTCTTGATTTTTTTTCCTTCCACTTCCATCATGGGCACCTTCTGACCCACATCATTTCTCTGTTTGTCGCTCCACATGACCGAACCACACCAGCATCTTCTCTCTCATTTTCTCTGTGACTTCTACCACCTTGAGTCTTCCTCTCACTTCTTCATTTCTCACCATGTCCTTCCCCATATATACAATGGCATAATGACCCCTTTTAGCGCCGATTTGTTTATTGCTCACTTCCCCAGGAACAATGCATCTTGAGCACTAAGTGAGGTCTGCTTGTGTGTCCTCCTACCTACCCATCTTCCCGCATACACTTTTGTTTCCACGAATGATACAAAATCTCTCCACAAATTGCTGACGTAATTAGTTTTGCAGGCGAAAACAGCGTTGGTGGCATTACCTGAGTATCACCTTTTAGGTGACCTTGCTTAGACTATACATTTGTTTCTTTTTGTATTATCTGCCAGAGGACAGTGCACTGCCTCTAACATCTCCTTCCATAGCCCCTCCCTCTTCTCACTCACGCACTTCGTCTGGCATGGGAAGCACTGGCTCAGGCTGAGTGTTCTCTGCCTGCCGGTGGGCGAGGGTGGCCTGGGTCTGGTGGACGTCGCCGCCAGGGTCATGAGCTTCAGGCTCATGGCCGTCAGGCGGCTGCTGTACAACCGGGAGGAGCTACCCTGGAAGTCACCGGCCCTCGCCCTGCTGAGGAATGCAGGGGGGTACCTGGGGTACCGAAAGGAGCTTTTCCTGATGAACCTGAGCCTGGTCGACTTTACAAGGCTGCCAGGTTATCACCAGAACCTCTTGGACGAGTGGCGGAGCTTCGAGTGGAGCAGAATGCGCGCGCCCTACGATCTCGCACAGTTCCTGAACGAACGCTTGTTCTGCAATGGCCTCTTCCAGGGGATCAGAGGAGAGAGGACCCTGGCTCTACGCCTCACATCAGCAGGGCTGCAGACAGTCTTCGACCTCGTGCAAGCCCACCAGCACAAGTGGAAGACCATAGCTGAGATCGCCAGGACCGCAGGACTCCGCTCCATGCTGGCCAGGTAGAAGCTGCTGCAGGACGTGCTCTGCGCCATGAAGGAGCTGCGCCTGAAGATGGAGGTGCCGGGGAACAGTGGCGGCCCTCCCCCTCCCTCCTCCTCCTTCCCAGAGTTGTGCTTCTCCTGCGCGCAGCCCCCTGGCCACAGCGACTCCGGCAAGCTACTGAAACTCTGAAGCTGCAGGAACGTGCCGCTGAAGAGTGCCCTGAACAAAACGCTCTACACATGCTGTGTCAAGGCGCTGCATTCCCGGGACCTGGCCGACCTACCGGACACAAAATGGAGAGACCATTTCTCTCCCCTCATTGCGGCCGCCCCCCAGTGGAAACAAATGTACAAGTCTCCCATAGACAAACGGTGCGGTGACCTCCAGAGGAGATTGGCACACTGCACATTGCCATTGGCCATGTGGCTCAGCCGAATCTCGCTGGGAGTAACAGACTTGTGCATTTTCAACCGTACCAGGGAGGATCTGCCGCACCAGTGCTTACGCATCTTCCTCGAACGCTGAGGGGCCGGAAAAGCCATCTGTACCAGTGTGGACGGCACCCTCATGTTCACCATCTGAAGTGCTCGCTCGTCGCCGTGGCATGTGCGATGACCACCACCACGTAACTTTTGAGTTGTACACGGTGCATTTAGCGCCACAGTACCTGGATTTATATTGTTATTTGTTTACTGGTGACTGTATTTCGTTTCGACTGTATTTAGTATCGGAATCGCCTCCAGTGCTGTTGCTGCTGGCGGCAATAAAAGTTGTTAAAAAAGTCAACTCTCTACTCTTCCTTTCCAATCTTCTCTCTCTCTACCCCTCCTTCCCATGCCCAATCCCATTCCTTCTCCCTCCTTACTCTCCTCCACTGGAGTCAATTTCCCCTTTACATTGAGCAGCACTGCCCATAGACTCAATACTGCCACACATAGACATAGCACTACCCACAGACCCATAAATGCACCATAGACTTAATGCTGCCCATAGACTCAATGCTGCTCATAGACTGGTGCCGGGACTTGTGAAGTCACGGCCGGTAATGTTGTCATTGCGGGCAGCCCGGTGTAACAGGCTGTAGTATACCCACAGGCCGTAGTACACCCGGGGTTAAAACGGCCTAGGCTAGATTATACCCGGGTATATTATGGCCTAGGCCAATTTATACTCTTGGGTATTCATCTTCTTGGTTCTTTCGGTAAAGTCACGTAGAAGGGAAGTAATAAAATAATAAAAATAAAACATAATAAAACAATTCTCACGACGTTTCGGCCACAACGCAAGCAGCCATCCTCAGGTGACCGAAACGTCGTGAGAATTGTTTTATTATGTTTTATTTTTATTATTTTATTACTTCCCTTCTACGTGACTTTACCGAAAGAACCAAGAAGATGAATCCCTGCAGTCACGAAAGCTTTAAATCGAAACTCTTGGGTATATTATGGCCTAGGCCAAATTATGCCCCTCTAGGCCAAATCATACCCCCATGATAGTAAGTGTTGAGTGGTAAACACATGAATTACTAATTTTTACAACATTTTATTTAAAACTGTAAACACATAGACTTTGATTGCTTCAACCAGAAAAACTTTAATAATAACCATAACCCTAAAAATGCTTCAATTGATCAAATTGAGATTCTTCCATTTATATGCTTTTTAGATATCGATTGAAGTTCGTTGTCGGCTGTTCTCTGTATGGATAATTGTCTTCGAACTTTCACATGGGGCATATTCTGGCCTGGAGGGGTATGGTCTGGCCCAGTCTAGTTTAAACCCCGGGTATAGTTTAGCCTAGGACACTTTATCCCCTTGGGTATACTCTGGCCTGGGCCAAACTATACCCAGGTTTAATCGGGACAGGGGTTATTTTAGCCTGTTACACCTGGTTGCAGGCTGCAGTACCAACACTAGAGGTGGTTGGGTGAGTGCTGGTTAGCGCGAAGGCACCGCGAGGAGTGTGCGGTGCCAGCTCCCAGTGAGGGAGCGAGAGTGAGCGTCAGCCAGCCAGGGTTACTCTGGGGCATGATACTTTGGCTGACCTGTTGTCACGTGACCAGACGATACTGGAGGGGGGGCACCGGTGGACGGGGGCCGAGGGGCGGTCACGTGGTCCCTGAGAGCTCTCGGGAACATTCGAGAAGGGGCCCGAGGAGCCTGGAAGGTAGGTGGGGCTAAGGGGGGAGCCAGCCCCAGCCCGGGAGCATATAATGAGAGCTCCGTGAGGAGCTCGGGGTTCTTCAAGTGTTGGTGTTCGAAGATCCACGTCGGGGAGAAGAAGCCTCTAGCCACGCGGTCCAGGACCCAGCTTGTGGTCCGGACCGGGACAGTGAATCATGTCTAGTTCTGCCGTAGCGTGGTTTAGATGGGCATTCGAGACCCGAGCGTAGGTTGTGTTATATTCGTGCTGTTGTGTTGAATAAATAGTGTTGCTCCCAAGTTAACGTCTGTGACTCAGTTGGACTCACTATAGACTCAACACTGCCCATAGACTCAACCCTCCCTATAGACTCAACACTACCCAAACACACCACTTCCCATATTCAACACTGCCCATACTCAACACTGCTCATAGACTCAACACTACCCATAATCAATCAATCTGTATTTTGTGTGCCAATATCTCCCTCAATAAAGTAGGCATCAATGCGCATTACAGTCACCAGGTTGTACATAAAGCAGTCCCCCTCTTTAACCTCCTTCCATTCCTCTCTCAAAGCCTCACTTCCTCTCCATCACCCTTCCTCTTCCCTTGCCCCTCCATTCCATCCCGCACCTCCCCTATAGCCCTTTCGTGATCCATAAGTACCCCTCTATCGGTGTCACTCATTCCTCAATCATTGCCAATTACATAATTCCTTTCTTGTGTCATCGTTTTGTAAGATACATCAAGCGCCCTGAGTGAAGGTACTTTATATTTACATAATCAACCCTCTATCCTCGAGGGTTACCCTCTTGAAAACGCTCGCGAATGCAAAATTCTTGGTTGCAGAAATCTTGTTTCTGCTACGAGTGAACATAGGGGGGAAATGGTAAATGTTTAATTCCAATGACTACAATAAATAATGAATACGTTAAAGAGAACGTGTTTTTATATTACCTTTTAACGATGGTGATTTAACTACGATGGAGGAGGTGGTGAGGAATTCAGGATGACTCCACGGGAGATGCAGGTGTTTGATAACAACGCCACACATTTGTTATCATTTTAGCACTCTGGGCAGTGCTCGCCACAATACATTCCTCGATTTGCATTCACCTTTTTGACCTCAAAGTCGACTTTTTTTTTTACCAAAGTGTATGAACGAGTTGGCTGTAAGTACGCGTAAAGTAAAAATGCACAAGTGCGAGTTCGGAGCAGGAATACTACAAGACTTAAAGACAAAAGGGGCAACCAATGCAGCGTGCCTAATCTTCGCAGCAGACCATTTCAAATGTAGTAACATTCTGCACGCACCTCCACGGTGTTGGTGATGTGGCACTGTACACTCGCGAATACCGGAGTCCAGCGGGTGTCGCGAATAGGACATCGGTGTGCATTTAGTAACTCACAAATAGGAGAGTCCAGAACTCGCGTGTAGCGAGTTAGCTGTAATCAGATTGGATTATTTACATTTATTTACATCAGCACATGATGTTGATAACAAGAAACATAAACAAATCGTGAATAACATGGCGTATTCAGTCGTATAAGCTACCCAGCTACTTTTACATTTGGTGATTTTAATACTAACGTTAAGCACCAGTTAGTTCATGTGTTGACACAAAGTTGCTGGTAAATTTAATGAAATGTAATAATGAAGTTATAAACTTGCTGTAGCTTCAAAATAATGCAATGCATTGATTTATATATAATGACACGTGCAATTTCTTCTTTGCAATAAAGGGGAAAATAATTTGTAGGTAATGTTTTGACCAATATCACAAAAGTGTTTCATATTTTTTTCAGTTGCGGAGGTGTTTACTGTATGGAAACAAGAACTGACAAAGACCTGGGAGAATTCTCTATTTGCAAAAATGAAAACAATTGAAGGCAACATTAAAGAGACAAATGAAACAATGATCAGGGAAATTAAGGTGATTTCAGAGCAGCTGGAGGTCTTAAAGGAAGGTGTGCCTATATGTCAAAATTGTGCAAATGTTAATGTAAGTGGCCAACCTTCAGCAGAGTTACTTGTACCACCCAAAGATAGAATTGTATTGAGCAACCAACTGACCCCACAGCCAGAGTCGCAGATTTTGAAGACAACACCAACTTCGGACGTGTTCACCGCCTTCAGCGAAAATGGACCAGACCAAACCGCGATGGACACCTCTGACGATTCAGCGCCAGTCGAGGAAGAATCGGCATTTCATTACTCCCCCGTGCCAAAGAGCAAGTTGTCAACGTGCCATTTGGAAAATGTGGAAACGTATGCAGCTTTGTTCAGTGGAGCGCCAGGTGCAGGAAAGGTCTCGCCCATTACTGAAGCGACCGCAGCAGAGGCTGCTGCTGGAGATGTGTTAGGAACGTTAGAAAATCGACAGAAAACAAGGGAGCGCAAGCAAAAGAGCCCCACTAAAAAGAAGGGCACCGTACATTATCACATGCGTGACCACAAACATGGCTCTACGGAATCTGCCTTATGCAAGAAAATGAAACCCATGCATATCCGAAAACGGCAGAGCTCAGCGAAGAAAGTAAAATCCACGGGTGGAGATGCTGTGATCAGTGAGTATCCTTCCGTAGTCAACAGGAAGACAAGAATAATAAGAAGCATGTGCCATGAAAGACTTTGACAGCATTACCACTGAGAACCCGAGTGTCAAACAAGATTGCAAGAAAATGTTCCTAAAACCAAGGGCACGTGTCATGTACGTTTGTTGAACTTCTTTTGCACCATATGTGGCTAACCGTGATAATTGGAGGTGCAGTGTCAGGTCCATTCCATAAGCTGAGCACCGTGATAATCTTCGTAATCATCTTCTTCTCCATCCCGTCCCTCCTCTATAGCCCTTTCATGATTTCTCAGCACCCTCTGTTAGGTTACTCATTTCTCACTGTCACTCATTCCTCAGCGATTAAAAACGAAGGACTCAAGGGTGCTGTGGTGGCTAGGAGATGTTAACTCCCTCGCCTGGTGTACAGGAGGTCGTGGCTTCAATACCAACCTCGACGCCTGCTGTGTATTTGGAGTCTGCGTCTCTCTCCCCTCGTGATCATGTGGATTTTTCTCCGAGTCCATCAGTTTTCCCCTCCACGTTTACAATTAACGTCACCCGTGTAGAGTTTTTGGCTGTTATAAATATACACATGATAAGACACTAAATTGGGCTATAATTTGTGGTCAAGTCATTTTTGAAAAAGAGCTACATAGCTCAGTGGGCCTTATCTGGTAGAATAAAAAAAAAACTTTTTATATATATAGTTTAGTTTCAATCCTTGCACTGCCCCTGCCAACTACGTAATTTCATTGTCATTATGCAAGCTACATCAAGAGCCCTGAGTGAAGGTATGTTGAGTAATAGCACTGGCTGCGGCCGAAAAGTGGTACTGACAGCATATGGCAGTACCCACGTCAGCAGGCAACAGTATATACGGGGAGAAAGACAACTAAGGGCAAGCTCAGGAAGGGGTATATCTAGAAGCCCCGGGAACCTGCTAGTAGGTTCCAAAAGGGGGGTGTGGCCAGAGCGGAGCAAAGCCACACCGGGAGCATAAGAGGGAACCCTGAGCGGGAGCTCGGGGCTGTTGCTGAAAGTGGATCCCCTCGCTGTGCTACTGTTCGTCACCATCGTCGCCGCCGTCTTCACCATCACAGGGCGCCGATAGCTAGACAGCCTGCCAACTGTACTAGCTAGATAGTGCCGCCGACAGTAGACGGCTGTGTGTAATATATAAAAAGTGTGCACCCACGTAGGGTGCGTGTAGTCCCCTTTGTGTGCTAGAATAAAGAAGGTACCTCAAATTATTCCTGTCTCCGAACTGCGTCATTACATATATTAGATTCGGTAGAAACTCGGTGTTCCACCGACATTCCAACTTCAGCCAAATTTGTGCTTTGTATCAGGGTAATAATTATAATCGGAGTTAAAGGGGGCATGGGCACTGAAAATAAAACCAAGATTTTTAGATGCCTCATCTAAATGTGTAATATAGGCATTCCATGAAACGTCTAAAAGTGTCATTCCAAGAAAATGTATGGTCTTACTGTGGATGAGAATATATGTTTAAATATTTTAGAACGAACTGTTGAATTGCCAGCCTTATGTGATATTTTAATTCACCGAGTTGAACGTGATTGGATTTTTGTGACCCCCAATCAAGCTTTCCGTGGGAATTTATGCACGGACCTCCACATACCTCTGATTATTCGTAATTTCAGCTTTATCCTTTAACTTCCCTAATTTCCCTAATAATGGCGCCTGCGTGCTCGAGCCCATTTTGTCATGCTAAATTATGCCGTCCCGTCCCTCCTCGACCTGTCTCGTCGATACGTGGGTGTGTGTGTGGGGGATGCGTTTCAACCGCGGTGGCCGAATGCCCCTCGCCGCGACCATGCAATCTTAATGCCGGTCACAGCGCCGCGGTGCGAAGTAGCATCGGGGGAGGTCGTCCAATTCCCTGGTTGCCGGAAACCGTGAAGGTTAATCCCGATAAGGGCTTCTCGGATTAAAACCGGTCGGCCAGGTGACTTCCCCTCGGAGCTCTATGGGGGGGGGGGGGGGGGGGAAATGCGTGCGGGTGTGTTTATGTAAGGTGAGGTGAGGGGGACGTGGGGGTCGGCTCCGTCACTTGGTGGTGGCGAGGTCAGGGTGGGGCGCCCGCTGAATGGCTTCGTGGCGGCGGCATCACATAGCCCCCCGAGGTGCTGGTCCCCGTCTCAGGTTGACTGGAGCACCTTGCTTGGGCCGCGCTCACGAGGAAATGCTGCGGGGTCCGAGGGGTCCGTCCGGACCTCGTGGCTGGTCTCAGGGTGGGTGGCTCCGTCCTCTGTAGCTCCTGCGGTGGCCTTCTCCTCCACTCCAACGGCTCTCCCTGTCTCTCGGTACCTGCGGGCTGGGGTACAAACTCGGAATCAGAAGGGTTTAGGGGCTGTCATCCCCGCCGTCCCCTGGCGGGGCCGGAACGCCTCGGGGCTGGGGGTCTGGCGGGGCCCATGTAGTGCGCGAGGCCCTCGAGCCCGGGTGGTGTGGGGGTCCCGTGGGTTCGCGGTTCTCCGGCGGCGGGGATCTCCTCCGCCGGGGCTGCCCTCCATGGTTTTAAATGGCGGACGTTGACCACCGTTTCGCGTCCCCTCTCTCCACCTTGGATCAATACCGTCCAGGGGGAGATCTGCCGCACCACGGTCCATGGTCCCCGCCAGTAGGTCGTCAGCTTCCCCACCTGTCCGGTCCCGACGTGAGGGGTGTGTAGCCACACCTTTTTGCCTGTCGAGAAGAGGGGGGGCTCCACGCGGGGTCGGGTGCTCTGCTCTTGTCGCCGATGCGCGGCCTCTCCCTGCGGGTAGGCCCGGTCCCGGGCCCCTCGTAGGGTCTCCATCAGGTGCTCAACGGGGCGGCTCCCTTCCTCCGTTTGGGGTGGGGGGACGCCGAACAGCAGATCTGCGGGTAAACGAGACTCACGACCAAACATCATTAGGAACGGGGTTTGTCCCGTCGATGTTTGCACAGTGGTGGTGTAGGCGAACAGGGCGTAGGGGAGGAGTTCGTCCCAATCCCGTTGATTGGCGTCCACCATATGTTTGAGCTTCCCTGCTAAGGTCTGATTCATGCGCTCCACCATACCGTTCGCTTGGGGGTGGTAGGCTGTGGTTCGGTCCTTCTGGATTCCGAACTCTCGGCATAGCGCTTGAAACAACTCGGCCTCGAACTCGCTACCCTGGTCGGTGAGGACTCGTTCTGGGATCCCATGCTTAAGTACGTACTGCTCCACGAATGCCCGGGCCACCACCAGGGCCGTTTTGTCAGGTATGGCCACTGCCACGGGGTAGCGGGTGAAATAATCCACCGCTACGAGAATATACCGGTTGCCTCGATGGGATCGTGGGAATGGCCCCTGTAGGTCGATCCCGACCAGCTGGTTCGTGCGGCTGACGCGGAACGGCCTTAGGGGTACCTGATATCGTGCCGGTTTTGGCCCGCACTGCTGACAGGCGTGGCAGCCCTGTACCCAGGCGGCCACGTCTTGTGCCAATTTGGGCCAGAGATACTGGCGACGCAGGGTCTCTCGAGTGCGTTGTTCCCCGTCATGGCCCCCGAGCGGGTGGTCATGCACCAGCCGTAGCAGCTGGGGTCGCACCTGGGCAGGAACACAGATGCACCCCGGCTGGCCGGCCTCGGTTAACTCCCGTACCACCCCGTTCTGCAATCACAACCGTCCATACAAACCGCTCCAGGGTCCTGGTAGGGCGCTCTTTTCCTCCCGTAGTGCCGCCTCCACCGCCGCCAGATCCGGATCCCGCTGCTGGGTCTGTCTCAGCTGCTCGTCGTTCAGGCCCGGGAAGGCACAGCCGACGTCCTGGATCCGTCCGATCAGGGTGGGGTGATCCTTCGGGTCCCGAGCCGTGGGTCCCGCGCTTGCCGGGCGGTCGACGGGATCCTCGGTGCCACCTGTGAGGGTCTCTGTGGCGCACACTGCACTCTCTCTCGCTGGTGGGGAAGGTCAGTGGCCGCGGCCTCTCGGGGGTCCGTTGCCTGCCGGCAGCGTCCCCCCGTGAAACACGGGCAGGCCTCCTCCGCCCTTGTCTCGGCGTACACCGTGGGCCGCCTCGACAAGGCGTCCGCGTTTGCATGCGTCCGGCCAGCCCGATACTCGATTTGCAGGTTGTACTCCTGCAACTGCGCCAGCCACCGGGCCATCTGCCCCCGCGGCTCCTTGAATGTAAGAAGAAACTGCAAAGCATAATGGTCAGTGCGTACGCGACATTTTCTGCCGTACAAATACGGCCGGAACTGCTTACATGCGAAAATCACGGCGTACAACTCTTGGCAGTTCACGCAATAGTTCAGCTCGGCCCCACTCAAGGTCCGGCTGGCGTACGCGATGACTCGTTCCGTCCCATCCTGTACCTGTGACAACACCGCGCCCAGCCCGCTGCTGCAGGCGTCAGTGTCCAAAATAAAATCGGTGGTAAAATCGGGGAAAGCGAGGGTGGGGGCGTGGGTGAGGTGGTCTTTGAGAGTTGTGAAGGCCGTCTGGCAGGCCCCCGTCCACTGATAGGGGTGCTTAGGGGAAGTGAGTTGGGTGAGGAGGCGTGCAATCTCGCTGAATCCCTTTACAAATCGACGATAATAGGTGGCGAGCCCCAAAAATGATCTGATCTCCGTCAGATTCCTTGGCCATGGCCACTCCACTACGGCGCGTACCTTCTCCGGATCGGTGCGTACGCCTGCCTCGCTGACGCGATGTCCGAGGTACCCCACCTCGCGTTGTGCGATGTAACACTTACGCGGCTTGAGCTTGAGATGAGCTGCTCGCAGTCGCTGGAACACCTCCCGTAACCTGGACCAGTGCTCAGACAGAGATCTACTGAACACTATCACATCATCCAGGTAAATCAGGCACTGTTCCCATTGCAAGCCCTGCATCACCAACTCCATCAGCCGCTGGAACGTCGCAGGCGCATTGGTGAGTCCGAACGGGAGTACTCGAAACTCGAATAGTCCCATCGGGGTGGTGAATGCGGTTTTCGGCCGATCTTCCTCCGTCATCTCCACCTGCCAATACCCAGACGCGAGATCGAGGGTGGAGAAATGTCGCGCTCCGGTGAGGTTGTCAAAAGTGTCGTCGATGCGGGGTATGGGGAAGGCGTCGCCGAGCGTGACTGCGTTCAATTTACGGTAATCGGCGCAGAACCGGGTTGACCCATCCTTTTTCGTTACTAGTACCACCGGGGCTGACCAGGGCTCGCCGAGAGCTGAATTATGTTATCGCGAAGCATGTCCCCAACCGCCTCTTTGATCTGGGTGCGTTCGGGTGCGCCCACTCGGTACGCAGGGAGTTTGATGGGTCGGGCTGCACCGGTGTCAATTTGGTGCTTAACAAGGTCGGTCCAACCCACGTCCGAGTCGTGTTCACTGAACACGTCGGCATACTCCTGCGGTAACTCTCGCAGCCGATCAGCCTCTCCCTTAGGTAAATCTGCCCATGGTACATGTAACGTGTCGAGCAGGGGAACGACCTCGGCTTGGGGAGTCGGGCCGACTCGCCAGGCCAGGTCCTGGTCACCCTCGGGACGACCGGTGTCCTCAGCCCAGAGGGCGAACACCGAGTCGTCAGAGTGCCGTGCGTGCAGGGGGTGTACGGTGGCTATCGGGGTGCGCCGTCGCAGCATCGCCGGGGTACTGTGAGGGTTAAACATCCACATAAACAATCGGTCCCCATCTGCGTTTACCAATGTGGCGGATCCCACGACCCCATACCGTTTTGCCAACTCCGGGTGAGGAGTTAGCATTTCCTCCCCTGATGGTCGGAGCGCGGGGTCGGTGGGGGATGTTGCCATCGGCACCAGCATCTCGGTCAGCGGCTCGATGGTGACTGCCGTCGCCAGGATAGCGGTCACAGGTGCGAAGCGGGGGCGCGTCGGTTCTCGTCCCAGGAACGGAATCCGCTCGCCGCTGCTCTCCATGGTGGCGCATCGCTGGCGGGGTTGCACGTTGAGTCCCAGCTTTTCTAGGAGGTCGGTACCTGCAATACACTCGTGACACAACACACTCGACACGTAGAACTCCTGGGTGCACATCTGGCTGCCTATGCGGACCTCTAGGGTGGCTCTCCCCAGTAGCCTCATTCTGGCTCCGCTCGCCGTGTGCAGTGCGCGGTCCGGGGCCTGCAGGCGGCTCACATCGACCCCGATCATGCTGCAGTGCGCCGTGCTCACGAGTGAGGCCACCGCCCCCGTGTCCAGCAGGATTCGGGTACGCTTTCCGTTTACCTTCCCTTCCACCAGCGACGTGGCTCCCGTAATCCCCGCCACCAGCTCCCGTAGCCAGTCGCCAGGAGTCACCGTTTTCGTGGGCGTTGTTGCTGGGACCTCTGTGGAGATCACTCGCTCGCCATTATCACTACAGCTTGTTTGTGTCGGGGCTATGTCGATTTCATCCCCTGGTGGTCCCCTCTCTAGGGGTGCCTTAGTGTTTGACCTATGCATCTGCCTC